CTGAATATGAATGTTGTTGCACCTTATATTCAGCAACATACTGCTTCAAAATGGAGAACCAGTTTAGTCTAGTGGTTAATGCTCCAAGCTAGAAACTAGGAGACTGTGAGTTCTAGTTCCACCTTAGGCATGAAAGCTGGCTGGGTGACTTTGGGCCAGTCAGTCTCTCTCAGCCCAACTGACCTCAGAGGGTTGTTTTTGTGGGGAAAATAGGAGGAGAAAGGACTATTAGATATGTTCACTGCCTTGAGTTATTTATAAAAAATAATAAAGAGGGATAAAAAATTTAAACAAAAAAAAATACTGGAAGTTCTGTAGGCCATCATGGTATTGAACTGTATTTCCATATCATATGATTTCAACATTTAGGATACTTCACGTGCCAATACTTAAGTTATTTGTGAGACTTTTTACTCACTGAAAGTAAAATATAATCTTAGATATGTGATTTACATTTGCCATTAGAGCATTGTCTGGAGGATGGCAAAACATTGTAGAAAATAAAGCCCCAAACTCCATAAAATTATAATAAAACTGGCTTGAATGTGGATACAAATGTAATGCTAAGGCTTAAATATTTATTGTTGTGAACTGTGATGTATTTATCTAATCTCTACTTCTTTGCATAGTAAGAAATTCCAGAGTCATTGGTACTTAATTTTGGAAAGAGTTATGGATTGGCAGCAATATGCAATATTTGTCTTACATGGAGATACTCAACTGGAGTATAGATGAATATAGGATATACTTTTTGCAATACATCCACTGCCTCCCTATCAAACACCTTGAGAAGTGCCCATATTCCAGGATTTTTCAAACTGTTTTGTGTCTCTTAATAAAACTTTTCAGGCAGAACAGTTGGAATCCACCCCCAAACTAGGGTTAGCTGATGCCAGATTCCAAGCTGAAGACTTCAGCATTCAAGGGGTATCTCTCCTGAAGAGAAACATTAACTATCCACGTTGAACTAATCACTTTAAAAACTGTAAAATAAAGCATGGTTTAACATATTGTCCAAAGTGGGGCAGAGTTTTTTTGACATGAAAGCCGTCCTCGTAGTAATATGGATTAGATAACAACAGCTGCAGATACTACATTTAGCAAAATGATTGTGTGGTTGTGCAGTCGTAAAATAAAACTTAACCAGGCTACCTAAGTAATGTTATAAAGCTGTCAGCACATTTTAGAAAGCAGAAAGTTATATTCTGAGGTAACAAAATCTCTGCTAATCAGGGAACATTTTTGCTTGAATGAAGAACAGGATACAGTATCTCTTAGCAGCTTCTCTGGGACTAGGAACATTTTTCTGTTAAAACACTAGGAAAAGGAAACATGCTCGATCCTTGCTGATATGCATCGTATAAGAAATAGAGGGTTTTGTTTTTCAAGATAGAATGAGACACCACTTTCAGTTCTTCTAACTTTAAATGAAAAAACAGAAAACTTTTATGAGAAAAGTTAAGAGTGGATCCCAAGTGAAAATGAAAAAAGGCTTTGAAAATTTTCCATAGCTTTTTAAAAAGAACTGATTACCATTTATGCTCAAATTGTATAACCTAATTTGAAACTAATTTGTGGTGCTGGTCTTTTTAGGCTATAAGCTAGACTGCTACATCTTTTTTTAAAAAAAAAAATCCATCAGAAAGGCCCTCCACTTCTTTATTTGTTCCAAGAAAACAACATGGATGCCTTCGTGCAGTTATCAGGAGTTGAGATTAACTCTTGTAAGACTTTCTGATTTATTGATGGCATTATTAATTGGCAATTTGAATACTGCATCTATGCAGTAGGGAGAATTATGCAATAGACAGGGATCAAATATTGTAATTGCAAAAAGGAGCTAAGGAATATTAAACAT